TTCACTCGAATCAGTCAGGCAAACCGAGGTGAGCCGAACCGAGACACCCTCTAACTTAGTTCCGTCTTCTTTTGTTGTCCAAAATTCCAAAAAAGGCCAAAAAACTAGGAAAATCCACTCAAGTCACCCACAATCTTTCTAGGAACCCAAAATTCAAGCCTATTCTAGAAATAAAATACGGCACCCCCCAAAAATCAGGCAAAACCTTTTGAAAACCACCAACCCCGCCAAATCTTCCCAAACTTCGCTCAATCTCTTCAAAAAAACAATGCAGAAACAATGAAAACAAGGAACCAAAAAGAAAAGAGCATAAAGAAACGAGATTTTACCGCAGAGGTGGTCAAAATCCAGTAAACCTCCAAAGCCGCGAAAGAAAAACCCAAAACTCAGAATAAAGAAAACGCGGAGCGAAAGAAAGAGAAAAGAGAATATGAAGCGATTAGACTCAATTTCACAGGTTTTATCAACGAAAAGGTGTCCAAATTGACACATGGCGGTCTATGGTAGGTCATCGAGGACCATGATATTTTGATTTTCCCACCCAAATGAAGAAGACCTCTTGATTGTACACGTGTCGAGATACAACGATTCACTCAGCTCACCCTATCGATCGAAGTCCCTACTGGAATAATTGACTCTCCAACCTCTGTTATCCAGCCCCATACTGAACATTCCTCAGCGAAACATAAATTTTACCACTCGGTCACCCCGTCCGAGTGAGCAACTTCACTGATTGAACACGTACATACCCTCGCTTGGTCTCGACCAATCCGCCCAAAGCACCATCAGGACTAATGTAACCTACTCGGCTGGGAGCACCGACTGAGTGCACCTTCAACAGATAACTCATTCACCATTCGGTCTCGCACATCGAGTGAACGCACCTTCAGCATATAATTCATTCATTCGCCCACTCGGTCTGACACACCGATTGAACACACCTACGGTAGATAACACATTCATTTATATACCCGGTCGGATACACCAGGTCAATACGTGTACACGAGATTGTTCGTCTATACACTAACCCCCTCAGCTCCATACGCCAATCAATGGCATCCCTTTGGGTTGATCACACACTCCGACTTGGTTAAAGGCATCGAGTGTGCTCACGACCACATGTCGCCCCCATCCGACCGATCAGTTGTACCAAAGAACTCAGCGATTGCAAGCACGATCATGTGGTTAATCGGTCGACCACGAAGGTCGACTGGAAACGCCTCAGGCGATGTCTACTCTCTAAGTTAAGCATTCCTTAACTCAGAAAGAGGGGGGCAAATTGTTAAGGCCAAAAAATGTCCTTGGCCCAAATAGGGTAACACTTCTGACCAAGAGGAAAGCCTAGGTCTAGTCCCAAGGTAGCCCAAGCCAGAATTCCCCAGATGAGGCCCATTCGGTATGAAGTGCAATCGGTCCATACCATCTGGACCCGGGCCTCTTGATCCTAGCACACCTTCTAGGCTTATGGTCAAATTTGGAACCCACAGTCACCTACGGATTACATTCCCACTTGAACTCTGATAAGGAAGTCGACTACTATCTCAATTCCTCCAAGGTCCATATCCGAGTCATGCTCGAACTCCCTTTCACGTAGGATAAGGGGGCCAAAGGATACACTCCTGGGACGAACGATTACTATAAGGACTCCAAATCTCACCAGGATTGGGAATGTTAGTGAACGACCCAGTTACGCAGCGGAAAACAAAAACATAAACTCTATGGATCGTTCCTTAGAACCAATATCCGGGTACAAAAATCACAGTTTACATTAAAATAATCAAATCTGTAAAAATCAGTTCAAGGTTTAAGAAAACATACCCACGTTTGGAGGCTCCGCCAATATTGTCTCTGAACGTGTTTGCTACCGATCCAAGTGTAGGATCGAACCGTAGAGGTCCACACGAAGACAATCAACAAGAACCAAGGAGGGATTTGCTAGATCCTCCTTGGCCTTAAGAAATCAAGAAGAAAACAAAAAAAAGTGTTTGTTTTTCAATGGAACAGTAAAAGTGGCGTGGGAGAGTTTTGAGGTTGGAGGTTTCTCTCTTTTCAAATGAAGAATGAAAAAAAATAAAATAACACACACACCTTTTTCCAACTAAAACCTTTTCTTTTATAGTCTTATTTAGTTGTCCTATTCCCATATAGAATGGGCTTGGGCTCCAACCCAAACACCCCCAAATTTGCCAAACACTCCCAATTAGATATTTTAATTTAATTCATCATTATCTCAATTAAAATCAATTAATATTTAATTAACATTTAACAATAATGATGATTTAATTAAATATGTACCCGAACACACATTTAACCGTAATTTCACTTATTTAATTTTTCTAACAAATTAAATAAAAGGCTATGACCGCAGCAAATTTAATGCACTGTGAAATTACCAAAATACCTTTCACCCAAAAAGACGAAAACACCTTTTTTTCTTGGCTCTTAAATTATCTTCTATGGTGTGGACCATAGGCTCCTCATCATACCGGTAGTGTATATTATCATGATTAACACCAATTAATCGTTCACTAATACACAGACCAAGATTGACCCCTAGCAAGGCATCATGGCCACCCGATAGATTCGGATTCAGAAAAGTAGCTAACTGTCAACGATATGGTTACCGTACAATTCGATCTTTCATCATACGTTATCTCGACGAGACGAGGCATAGAAATAGTGTCAACTTCGGTTACTTTGATATTATGTATTCAGTTTCTGGACCAATGACGTATTATAATCTGGATAGAGCAACAACTCAATCCCATGTGGCCACAGCTTTAGTGTCATTGCCATATACTGAATTGCGCCGTGAGATAACTTCTCCCGTACTCGGGATAGTGAATCCTTTGTCAATCCACCATAGTCTTGAACACTCCTTGTACAGCCCATCACCACTGTACTGACAGCTCTGAATAGAACTGCGATAGGCTGTGTCAAACTGTACCAATCGGTGCGCAAGGCGCTCCGGTGATCTCAAGTCTAAGGATCACATGCACCACCATTCATTAGAGGATTGTGCCAAAACACTGGGGTTACATCCATATGGAATCCTCTGGTGGGTCAGTCCAGTGAAGTTGCGGTATACCGCCTACAAACAGACCTATGTGTTGTCACCAGGTTGTCACCAAACAACTGACAAGTGAGATCAATCACTGCTTCGACAGGGTCGTTCAACACTATGATAGCCTTACCGTATTATCTGTGCCCTTACTTCAGAATAATACTAGGGCTAAGGACGTTCTAGAATGGCCACCATATGTGCTCATAGGGTTCTCACTATCAAGATTTGAAACACTTGATACCCTCGTCACGGTTCTACCATTCTAAGGACATATATCAATACATATTGCAATAATAATGATTTACGCGATATAGAATAAAATGTCTTTTATTATTGATTAATGAACATTATTACAAAGAGTCAATTCTACAATAATTGATTGGCTCTAGGGCATATACTCTAACAGGGAAACCATACAGTCACCATTTAAACAAAGGCCAACCCTCTCACAAGGGACATCGATATTACACCCTCAGATCCTGAAGTTCCTACTCTTAAGAACTTCGCATTACAGCCGTAGTCATAGTCCCCGACTAGACGTCCAGTAACCTTTATTCTCCCTAACCCTCACTAAATTAGCCTCATTCAGCCTTGCTGACTTGAGCGTCGGAGTGCCTACGGCAAACACCACCTTGGTGTTTTTCATTGCTTCACGTTTATTTCCTTACGTGTGCAGATGCAGCAGGTAGATTTTTACATCTACAACGTCAAGAAACCTAATCCAACTCGAAATTAATATGGCTTATCTCGAAAGCAAATCCTCAAAATACTAGATGGGTATGATGATAGCCAATTCAGAGGCAAAGAATTTGATACTCCTAACCTGGCAACCTCATGCGCTAACATGTTGGCTTTCCTTTTAGTCCACTGATAATCAACCGAGGAACAACTCTGGGCAAGGTCATGAATATCTCTCACAATTCTATCAATCTCCCACAATACCTTTCCTTCGTGCAAGCCTTAGCAAGGTATAAACTGTCTGTTTCAAGTAAGACCTTGCTTAAACCCAGATTGGAGGCCAAAGCAAGAGCTTCCCTAAAAGCTAATGCCTTTTCTACAAGGGGGGTTGTAGCAAAAAGATTAGATGCCTACCTCATTAACAACATACCCTTGTCATCCCGAACAACAATTCCCAATCATGGTAAATACTAAATCTGACTTGGCTCTAGTATTTAAAAAATCTGGGCTTTATTATGGGCTGGAGCTTGTATTAAATACACGTCAACAACCTCGGCCCAAACCCGGGTTTTGACATTCCTTAATATTTCCAATAATATTACATTCACAACCTCTTTTCATAAACTTTCTCTCACAACCTCAACGTGACAACTCGTAATAAGTTCTATCTAGGTTCCACCTAATAAATTACAATTGACCAATTGCGAACTGCTATGAGGGAAAATTTGTGAGAAGAGGTTGTGGGTGTAGTATTACTCTAATATTATCTTGAGTAATGCTATTTGCACTAACCAATTTGTACTAATCCAAGTACTAACAATTGAAATTTTGAAAAAAAAAAATTCTTTTTTTGTTTTTGGAGGGAACTAACGTGGCAATAAGAGAGGTCTGCCACATCAGTTAGGACTTGGGTTGTATGGTTTTTTATTAGTGCACATAGCATTATTCATTTCGAGTAATGTTATGTGCACTAACCAATTTATACTAATCCAAGTACTAACAGTTGAAATTTTGAAAAAAAAAAAAATTCTTTTCTTATTTTTTAGGAGAACTGACGTGGCAATAAGAGAGATCTACCACATCAGTTAATACTTGGGTTATATGGTTTTTGGTTAGTGCACATAACATTATTCATTTCTCATACATTCAAACTTTATTGAAATGTCAGTATGATGACTAAAATACCCTTTATCAAAATGCAGATGACTTAACATATTATTAGGATATTTTTGTAAGTGACAGAAGCCGAAATAAAAAAATAAAAACTTGGAAAAGAAGCGACGCCATTCTAAATTTTAAGTCTCTCTAAAACCCCCCCGTGTTTTCTCAATCTCTCTCGCTCTGTAAGCTCAGTAATGGATATCGATTTCAAGGAATACCAATTGAGCTGCGAACTGCGAGGCCACGAAGACGACGTAAGATCTTCATTAACTACTTTTCCTTCTTTATTTATTTATTTATTTATTTTTTATTTTTATATTCACAATCTAAATATAACGATGCAATTAGTCAACCAATTCTCAGTTATCTGAATACTTTAATTTCAACTCAATCATCAAACACTCACTTGCATGTATGTGAATGTTTAATCAATCAAGTTGACTCTGGATTTTGACTTCAATTGCTCCAATTGGAGTTTTCAAGGTGATTGATAAATTTTCAGATGCATCAACAGACGCCCTATTGGATATTTTTTGAATTATATACTTTATTTTATTGGATATGTCTAAAAAATAACACGAAATGTTGCCAAATTAGCGGTTCTTTTAAATTCAAATTGTTGTAAAAAATTATGAGCTTTATGAATAATACCCGCATTGTTTTTGAAACTTTAAAACCGGAGTTATTTGATTGCGTGAATATCAGGTTTGTGGTATGTATGAAAAATTGGGAATTGCATTAGTTGAATTTGTTGTCGATCAGGATGTATTTGTACAAACACTCAGATAATAGCTTGAGATTTTTATATTTTATTAATTGATTGAATTTGGATATCATGAATTAGGTTCGAGGGATCTGTGTGTGTGACAATGTGGGTATAGCAACTTCATCAAGAGATAAAACTATCAGGTTCTGGTCTTTAGATGCCTCGGACAAACGAATGTATCTTTCTTCTAAATTACTGTTGGGGCATACAAGTTTTGTTGGTCCATTGGCTTGGATTTCACCAAATGAGGAATATCCGGAAGGTGGGCTTGTGTCAGGTGGGATGGACACAATGGTCTTGGTTTGGGACCTAAGAACTGGAGAGAAAGTGCGGACGTTGAAGGGTCATCAGTTGCAAGTCACTGGTATCGCATTGGATGATGAGGATATTGTGTCATCCTCTGTAGATTGGTAAGCTTACATTTCTGACGATTTGTATTTGTGTCATACAATTTTCCTTTTCTCTCTTTGGGGTCATTTCTAGTAGTCTTAATAAACTTTTTTTTTTTTTTTCCCTATCTGTCTTATATTGATTCTGATATCACAAAATTTGGGAAGCTTTAGCAGTGTTCTGCTGGATGAAGTTCATTAACAGAAAATGTTGTGTTATGTGTTCTCTTTGCCCAAATTTAGTGGAATGCGCACTTGCCTTACTGTGCATAATAAATGTGTGTGATAATGCTGAATTGTTAAACTGCTGTTTTGATACAATACGATCTCTTTTGTTGCTGGGATTTTCTGCTGCAGTACTTTAAGGCGGTGGAGGAATGGCCAACTTGTTGAGTTCTGGGAGGCACATAATGCACCAATCCAAGCAGTTGTAAAGATGCCTTCTGGCGAGCTTGTTTCAGGTCTTGATGATTATTTTGCTATTAAAGTTTGAGTAGATATTATCCAATATGTGAATTTCTTTTTCTTATATTGTACACATTGTCTCAGGAATCTGTTTTAGTTAATCTATTAGAAAGATTATCTTTAGTGTTCAGAGATAAAGATGAAGAGATAGATATACAGAAAGGATAATAGAAGTAGGATGCAACCAGAAACTCATTAGAAAGTGAAGTAAGAACAGAAAGAGAGGAGAGAGAGCCCTAAAGCAGAGTTCTTCCCCTTATTTTGAATTTTATTTTTTCACCTCTTTTACTCTGACCACTTAGAAACCCTTTATTAGGTTTTTCAAAACTTAGAGAATAATAAAAGATCAGTCAAGATACAAAATGTTCCTATTATGATAAAATAAAAATAAAAATTTTTTAAAACTCTACTTAAAATATTTTTTAACAAAAAAGTTCTCAATGTAATTTTTTTCTTTTTTTTTTTTTTGGGTAACCGGGGTGTCTGGGCCAATTTATGCGCACCTCAACTAATCCTTGAGGTCCATTAAACACCCTACAAGCCCAAAGGACCAGGTAAGCTACAATATTATTGTGGTAGGTGATCCTAAGGTCTGAACCCAGGAACTCAAGGGAGGGAGCAAAATTATTGCTTCAGTCGTTATCATATAAACTCTCGTATGACTAAGTCAGTTTACATTAATTTAAAGGCTTGATCAATTGATGTGAATCTACACCTGTGGTCTTCTAGAAACTGCAAATATGATTGAACCTGCTTAATTGCATCCCCTGAATTTGATATGGAAGTTCTGATTAATTGCAATCTAGTATTTGAGCTAAACAATTTTGTAAGTGCATATTGGGTGTTGACTTCATGTTCTACGACATTTCAGGTTCAAGTGACACAACACTGAAACTTTGGAAAGGAAAGACATGTGTACACACTTTTACTGGGCATACAGGTTTTTCCTCCATCTCATTTACCACATCCTGATAATTCAGCTTTTATTACGTGTTCATGTTTATTTGTTTCTATCTTTGAACTGTCTAGAAAGCTAGTGTGCTTCTTTTTCATATTGACCGAATGGTAGTAATTGCTCTTACCACAAGTCAGAAGTGGGAGAAGCTTCTTCTGTAGCCATACGGTTCACAATATTCTAGTGGTTGGCAAATGGAAACATTATGTTGCTACAAATTAGTGCAACAATATGCTAGCACTGCATCTGTTTCATATATTGCCACTACTATGATGTGCCTATCAAAGATCAATTCAATATGTCTTGTTGCAAGATGGCTAATATTATCTTATATGTTTACTTATGCACACATATATTCTATGAGCTTGAGGACCATCTTGACACTAGAGAATGAGGTCACTGTTTTATCTATCTTAGGTGCATTATTAACCAAAAAAGGAAAAAGAGGGTCTCAAACATTTCATTAATTTGTGCAGATACAGTTCGAGGTTTGGCAGTGATGCCTGGTGTTGGAATTCTTTCTGCTTCACATGATTGGTGAGAAGTGTTTTTATTTTAATTTTGTTATTTCCCAGAATTGATGGTTCTTGCTGGAGTATTCATTTTAATGTTCTTTACTTCATAGATTGTCTTGGTGGTGGCATAGGTAATGTAGAGAATTAGTGCGGACAAATTAAGAGAAAAGGACGGAAAAAAAAAATGCAAATCATGTGCATGATTTCCAATATAATACACTTATCTAAGAAGAGTGTAAGCAGATTTAAAATTTAAATCTTCATGGTTTTTGAGTGAGAGCATGATGCTTGAAGAAAATTGAGGGTATAAATGCTGTTCTCTTGTGAATTTGAATAATTTGAAATGTTGATTTATTTGGCAGTAGACGCTTTCCTTAGCAGTTTTCTTTAATTTGCACTTGAATTTTTCTTAACTAGCTGTTTAATGTCTTGCATATCAGTGATATTATTATAATACAGTGTTTCCTTTGCATCAGTTCCATCAGATTGTGGACACTAACTGGCCAAGTACTAATGGAGATGGTTGGCCATACTGCCATTGTCTATTCAGTTGATTATCATGCATCTGGACTAATTGTCAGTGGTAGCGAAGATCGTTTTGCAAAGATCTGGAAAGGTGATTGCTTTTGATATTCTTGCTTCTCTTGTAATATGCTCTTGTGCTGTTATGGTTCTCCTTTGTGCCATAATTGTGATCTACTTAAGCATTTTATATATTAAACATTGTTAATAGGCACCAGGTTGTTCAACATTGGTAATTGGCATCATTTTTTCTATATCCTCGAAGGCCAAACTTTTCTTGCCATAAAATCTTGCTTAGATGTATGAAAATTGTTATTTTTTACACGGAGAATCATGTCTTGTTGCAGATGGAATCTGTATTCAGAGCATAGAGCACCCTGGTTGTGTTTGGGATGCCAAATTTTTGGAAAATGGGGATTTTGTGACAGCATGTTCTGATGGAGTTACACGAGTTTGGACAGTACATCCTGATAAGGTTGCAGATTCACTAGAACTTGAGGCTTATGCTTCAGAAATTTCTCAATACAAGCGCAGCAGGTATTATCATCTATCAGTGGCCATAATACCTTAATACGGGCATCATTCAATTTGAAGATTGATGATTAACTACTTGTGATCATCCTTAAGTAATAATCTATAACGTATTTGATATTGTCTGTTCGGACACTTTTTTTTTTAACAATGTAAAGTGTTTTCATTTGGAGGATCACTACCTTTTTGTCTTACAGTAAATTATCTACATATATTTGAATGCAGATATATCTCTCTTTCATCTAATCTATTGTTGAGCTTTTGTGACTATTGGCAAGTGATTGCCAGTTGGATCAACTTAAGAATTGGAAACTGGTTTCCAGCTGCTTTGCCTGATACACGTATTTTGCCTTTCTGTTTGTATTAGGAAGAGGGTTGGTGGATTGAAATTGGAAGAATTACCCGGGCTTGAAGCGTTGCAGATTCCAGGTCTGCTTTTAAGTGGCTCTAAATCATTTAACTCAGTGTTAACATTATTCAATTGATTATTTTGGTCTTAAATGATGCTTCAGTTGCTTGATGGATATCCATCTCATATTGGATTATTAAATTGGAAAGATCTTTCTCTTTCTTTCAGTTAGAAACCTTTCTTCTTTTTCCAATAAAAGAAAATGTAAATATACTTGCATATGTTGTAATAGTATCAATATGATTTTTCAATGCAAGCTAAAGTTTTCTGGTGTGATGGTAAATCTAGAAAACAAGACATGACAATTATCGTGAGTAGTAGAGAACGGTATCTTTAGATGTATATATTCTGATTAATCAATGTCTGCGAAGTTCAGTTAGCGAAGTTTGAGAATATTATCTTGTTAAAATTGTTGCAAGATGTTGTTATGCATTGTTCAGTATATGTTTTTATCAGGAACCAGTAATGGCCAGACGAAAATTGTCAGAGAAGGGGACAATGGTGTAGCATACTCGTGGAATAGAAGAGAACAGAAATGGGATAAAGTAATCTCCATTTTCATCTAGTCTGTTTTATCTATTTTCATCATCATATTATTCTTTATGTGACTTCTTTCACTGTTCAATTCTTTTTTCTCTCTCATTATTTGTACTTTTACATATTGAGTTTCTTTTCCTTTTTAAATGCTGCATATTGCTATTGCTTTCTTGGTAGTGATGTTTATAATTGGTTATTACTTCAACTTTTAGATTGGCGAGGTTGTTGATGGACCAGATGAAGGCATGAACCGGCCTATTCATGATGGAACTCAATATGATTACGGTTATTATTTTACTTTTCTTGGAAGCTTCTTGTTTTAATTTTAATTTTTGTTTTTTATATATTTTTAATTGTAAATCATGTTCTTTTTGTTACAGTTTTTGATGTTGATATTGGAGATGGGGAGCCTATCCGTAAGTTGCCTTACAACCGCTCAGGTATGTTTGTTGTTCTTAGTCTTATATTCCATTTATTTATTTGATAGCCATTACATATTCATTCATCTCTCCTCACCCCAAAGTTAGTGGGCATGGATCTTTTGTTGTTACCCCAAGAACCTATTTCTCTTCTTGTCCTAAGCTTGTCAGTCTTTCCGGTCCATATTATTATGCTGCTTTTCAGAAAACTGATCTACTGGAAATTGGTTTGAAACAAAGTTTTCCTTTGCAATTGCTATTGATACAAAGTACTTTTGTTTAGAATTTGAGACATGGGACAATTAGGATTTTGTATGACAAATTTTTATTTATGCTAGAAGTAGTCTTGGATTCGCGCTATAACATTGCTTTTTTTAATTATTTCAGGATTTAGTGTTTGATTTATATTTCAGATGTTATATAATATGATGGTAGCTTGCTTCATTACTAGTGAAAATTCAGATTTTGATTTTCCTCTGACCATGGTTGCTGAGTTTCCTCAGAGATTTGGCACATCTGGTGTTGAGTTTCTATTTTTCATTCTGCTGGCCTGATTTTCGTTCTTGTTCAAATCTAATTGTGCTCTATATTTCCACTCCATGACATCTCTCCTCTTGTATGTGGTTATGTTTGTTTATTTGTTTAGGGTTCTGACTTTGGTGATGTTATTCTAGTTTTTGGCTTGCATTAAGTAAACAATCTCTACATAGCACTTTATGTTATCATCCTACTTTCCTTTTAATATTTTCTGTTTTAAGTATGGTTCTGGATCTTCAAGCACCCTTTGCCCATCCCTTACAAAATACTCTATATTGGAGTGTTGTGATTTAATATATTGCTTACTGAAATGAATTATGTATGTCTTTGTTAATCAAATAAATAATTATTGAATTTCCAGATAATCCTTATGATACTGCTGATAAGTGGCTTCTCAAGGAGAACCTCCCTCTTTCCTACCGACAGCAAATTGTAGAGTTTATACTGCAAAATACTGGCCAAAAGGACTTCAATATCAATCCATCATTTCGTGATCCTTACACTGGCTGTAAGTAAATTGGGGATTTGGTTCCTTGAATGAACTTTGGAGGTTATAGTCATTTGCTGCATTTTCAGTTGGTTAATATGGATTTGTTTGTCATTCCAGCAAGTGCTTATGTACCTGGACAACCTTCTAGTATGTCTGGTATGTATGTATGTATATGGAAAAAGAAAATTCTACTTTTTTTCATTATGCATTGGATGCTATTATTAGTTTTCTTCATATCTCTAACATTACTCTCCTTTATGAGCTCTAATATAGTTCATGATATTTTATATGTTACAGCTATGCCAGCAAAACCTACCTTCAAGCATATCCCAAAGGTATTTTCCCACAGCTTTTTATCAACAAGATCTGTGATTTGTCAGTCAAAGGTCTGGGATGCATGTTTTGGTATGAATTTTCGTGACAGGTTTCCTTATATCTTATGGTTAGCAAAGCTTGTATTAAAAAGCATTTGAGGGATTATTACTATGTCCATGTATCCTTTATATGTATAATCAATAAATCTTCAACCCAGAAACATTTGACTTACTAAATATGATTCCTCATACAATTGGAAGGTGCAAGCCCCCCTTGTGATAAACCATAGGTTTTCTCTATAGCTATTATTCTTTGTATATAACAAGCTCATTATGTGTGAATCTAATTGCACTATGAGATGATTGCATACACTTTTCTTACTGTTTTGTCGTTAAATCCTGAAATACAACATGTTTTCTATGTGTATGTGTCAGTGTATCTGCATGTATGCTGTATTGAAAGTTGTGTGTGTTCTTTAGCCAGATCAACATAGTTGAAATCTAGGTTTAGATGAGTTTTGTTGATGAGGTTAAAGGTTCTCACCCCTGTATCTAACAGAAGTTCTGTTAGTCACAGATCCATTTTAGCATTTGTTATCCAGATGCAAATCTCAGTTATTTGCTCATTCGATTTGAGGATTGGATTTTATTGGAATCACTTGTGTTGATATATTTTATGTCCATATCTATCAACTTATTTGGGTATCCAGGTTTGTCTATTCTCTCTTCTTCTATTCATATTTAATCTTTGGTTCTCCAGAAAGGAATGCTTGTTTTTGATGCTGCTCAGTTTGATGGGATCCTTAAAAAGATTACCGAGTTCAACAATACTTTATTAACTGATGTGGTAGGTTCTTTGTATGTTTGAAATTTTCTTTCAAGTTTACTTTTCCAATTTGTATCTTTTTTCATGAGTTATCTGTTTTTGTCATTGTTGTTCTCATTTCTTTTTCTTTATATTTTCCTGTAAAATGATCTGATTGACAATCTTTTGAAGGAAAAAAAGAACTTGTCCCTGACGGAGCTCGAGATATCTCGACTAGTGGCTATTGTTAAAATTTTGAAGGACACATCACACTACCATTCTAGTAGTTTTGCAGATGTTGACATTTCTTTGTTGCTGAAGTTGCTAAAAACATGGCCAGTGGAAATGATATTTCCAGGTCAGTGTATTAAAATTTAAAGTTATTAGTCGGTGCTTCTTCAGATGAGTTTTTTACTGTGTTACTGACTTCATGATGCAGTCAGTCTGTTCCAGCTTCATATTTTTTGGAGTATAAAGTGACTTTTCTAAGCTTGTTGCCTGTCAATACAGTCTGATCTGTTTTGTTTTTTAGGCATTAATTTTGGTCCCTCTGTTAAATTTGTGCCTTCTACCTGTGCAGTTATTGATATTCTAAGAGTGACTGTCCTGCATCCTGATGGGGCAAGGGTACTTCTCAAGTGTGTTGAAAATCCAAATGGTATTGAACCTAGTGATTTACCTCATAATTCGTTTGCCTTTACTCTGAAAATTGATTTTGTTTGTAATTTTATGAAACATTTTAGTTATGTAATATATGTGCTAGTATATTTACTCTTAAAACTATTTATCTCTAACCAGATGTGCTAATGGAAATAATTAACAAAGTCACCGCAACTCCTGCACTTCCTGCAAATCTTTTAACCAGCATCCGTGCTGTGACTAATCTGTTCAGGAATTCGTCCTACTACAACTGGCTACAAAAGCATCGCAGTGAGGTATGCATCCCTTTTCTATTAGTATGTTCGGAGTTTATATTATATCTACAAACGTGGTAATGATTGCTTCTGAGTTTGACTTGTAGA